TCTCCTGAGTGGACAGAGAACTGACCTGAGATTAGAATATACATGGGACTCACAGACAACAGCCAAGAGCCTGGCTATCAGAAGACATAGACTAGTAGATGAAGATGATAAGTCTTGGGCAGAGTCATGTGGATGGATATTTGGGAGTAGGCATGAAGAAATAAGACCTTTGTTAACATCCCTAAAACACAGACATCCACCATGGAAAAAGAATCAATGAAGACAAAATGCCTCTGCCAGTTCACATCAGCCAGCTTCTGCCCAGCATTAGCACAATGAACAGAGCAAACATAGTACATATACAACATGGCCCCAACAACATGAGGTCGTACTCACCAAGGCAGATTCAGCTACTGTCAAAACCAAAGATCTAACAGTGACAGAGACCAACTCTAACCCTAAAACAGCCCCATCCTCCAAGTAGACTGATCAGCTTCATGGTGGCAAGTTGACTAGATTGTACCCTTTCCACTGTGAAAAGTAATTCATTCTACCAAAATTAAAAACATTCTCCAGTTGGGTTTGTCTCTCACAGAGGGAGGGTTTGTTCCCCTGGCATGAGATCCTGCATATTACATCAGACCAAGGAACCCATTTTACAGCAAAGGACATGATCATAGGACCTACTGGTCATATTATAAACCACATAACCCAGTAGCTGCCTGTATTACAAAACGCTGGAACAGCCTGTGTTCCAGACATAGCTGGAGCACCAGAACAGAGTCAATCTATAGTATAGGTTCTATACTAATAAAAGGATAATATACTAATTAGACCAGACATCTTCCAGATGTCCTTTCAGACAAAGCCATGGTGGCGGGGGCCAAGGCAGAGGCGGTTAGGGGCAATCAGGCCAGCAGGGAGGGCAGTTTGGGGTGACCAGGCAGGCAGAGGTAGTTAGGGGCGATCAGGTAGGCAGGCAGGCAAGCAAGCAGTTAGAAGGCAGCAGTCCCAGATTGGAGAAGGAGTAGACAGGCTGAGGGACACACCCCTCCATACATAAATTTCATGCACCGGGCCTCTAGTCTTATATAATAAAAAGCGAATATGCAAATCGACCAAATAGCGATGACACACATTGACCATCAGAGGGCAGACAATCAATGCAGGAGCTGCCCCCTGGTGGTCAGTGCACTCCACAAGGGGAGTGCCGCTCAGCCAGAAGCCGGGCTTATAGCTGGCAAGCACAGTGTGGTGGCAGGAGCCTCTCCTGCCTCTGCAGCAGCACTAAAGATGTCCAACTGATAGCTTAGATTAGGGGTGTCGAACTCAATCAGAGAAGGGGCCAAAATCTAAAATCCAGCCTAAATCGCGGGCCGAATGGTTTACTGAACAGTCATAAACTGTCATTGTGATGGAAACGCAGCAGAGTGCAGTGATGACAGCGCGGTGAGGGCCACATTGCAAGGCCTGGCGGGACGGATTTGGCCCTCGGGCCTTGTGTTTGACACATGTGGCTTAGATGATCCTAAGCCGTCAGTTGGACACCACCTGAGGGCTCCCAGACTCCCGGCACAGGCCAAGCTGAGGGACTCCTTCCGAGTGCACAAATTTCATGCACCGGGCCTCTAGTTAAATATACAAGTCTGAAAAATAAGTTTGTATTTATTACAGGGACAAAACTAAAGCTAGATGTGATTTTAAAGGTATTATTTAAAACTTCTGAATTGGATGAGATCAGAAGGAAGAGAAACTTAATAGCATTTGAAGAAAGAGGGAAAAGATCCAACAAAAACAAACACACACAAAAACAAATCAAACCAAACCAAAACAAAACAAAAACAAAGAAGGAGAGAACAGCGTCCTGGAAACAATGCACAGGTTTTATCTTCAAAGGCAATCAAATTACTACAAAAGTTTAAGATAAATCAGCTACTGATCTCAATGTAATTGAAGTTACAAAAAAGCAAAAAAATATTAAAAAATCTTTCTGCTTACAAAACTAAGTGAATCTCTATAATTTACTTTCTAATACTCAACCTTGCTACAAAGGCATTTACAAGCCAAAATTAACAAATTTTAAGACTTCCAAATGACCAAGTCCTCCCAAGAGGATTGTACAAAGATAAACCTTTTAGAATTTCATAAACCAGATGAACGTATATCTTCACCTTCTATTTTACTACAGTAGTAATTAAAAGCAAAAATTGCCAAAACAAGAACTGAAGTATACAACTACAGGCTAAGACACTATCATATTAAATTCAACTTTAAGTAATTGGTTACTGATGGTTCTATTAAACTGATTTTATTTTATATTATACTCCTTATATATGCTATCAATTTTACGAAAAGCATGGGGTTTGTAGTAATTTGTTAAAAATTAAGATGTCAAGCCCTTGAACAGGAACAGAAATCTCTCTCTCTTTTTCTTTTTTTTTTCTTTTTTTTTATCTAAAATTGTCCTCTCATGCCTTTAAGAGCCAGCCCTATACTCAGGGCAGCCCTCCTAAAGTGAGAGGGAGGATGCTGTATGTCCTGCCAGACTCCCCTGTTACAACTGAGCACAGGCGAGCAGGGAAAGCATAGGCCAGGACAAGAGGAACAGAAATCTTTAATTTAACATTGTTTCTGAGATACTGAACTAAACTTTTATATTTTCTTATAACATCTTTACCAAAATAGATCCAGTACAATGTGTTACAAAACACCTCCCTCTCCCTGAAAGAAAAAAAAAAAAAAAAGAGAAAAAAAAAGGCATGTCAGCTCCCTTAATTTGGTTGAAAGGAAGATAATAAAAATATAAGAGGACAGAAGAATTAAAAGCCAACAGTTTTTCCTGTCTCAATAAAATAAAGACATGTCTTCTCACTTACAGGTTAAGGCTACCTTTCCAGATAATCCAACAGCTAAGTCACCAGTTTCCAAGGGCATTTGCACCATTTATGGAAAACGTCAGATCTGTGCACACCAGATGTCCTTGACAACTCATCCCACCATCCCCTGCACAAAATTTGCTGCACCAGCAGACTATGAAGCCAACCACTGAGCTTCTTTTCATTATCAAGTAGATATAATATCCCTGACAACAAAACAGAGGACACAGTGTCTCTTCACAGTATCAAGGCCAACTGAGACCACACTAAGAAAATCAGCTTGCCTATATGAGGACCCCTTCTTTTCTTGGGTAGCCAGGATATAAAGGAGACTCTGACCTCTGCCACTGGTAAGTGACTAACTTTTTACACACCGAACTGGTCCTGAGAACAGAGATGTCTTCAATGTAAGTGAAGACTATACAACATAATCTCGAAGAACTGCTAGTGGTGCAAGCCGAAGATATACTTGTGTGTGTAATGGACTCAGCAACAGGCAAGTTAATCTTGTTGAAAGTATTTTTCATCTCTTGTTCTATTTGCCAGTGTTAGTGTTTTGCTGGCTTCAATTGTTATCAGAAAACGAGGAAGAAGAAAACACTAACTACCTAAATGAGAGTTCTGGGAAGAGTGGGATTCCTCTGAAGAAGAGGACCCTGTGGTGCCCAACCTGACACCTCTGGAGGGTCTTGCCTGGGAGGTGAAGTGCCTTTTAAAATACTCAACTACTTAGAAACCTTTAAATCCTAATTCTTGGTCATATCATGCTAAACTCTTAGATCCAAGCACACGGGTCCATATACTTCGAGAAATAGGTCTCCCATTGCTCCCATTGTGTACCCGAACTGGAACCAATTCCTGAGTGGCCACTTCTGGCTTCTTGTGGAGTCCCGCCTTTTCAAAAGCCGCTGACAAGTCCCAGCTGACTTTCTGGAGATCACAACACTCTAACTGGAGCACTGTAATTTGCCACCAAACAGTTAGGCCGAACCTTGAGTAGAGCCACTCCCATCCCTGGATTTCTAAAACAGATCCCTGATTCATGTGTTTCTGGTTGTTGCTGTGGCTGGTTGACTTTTCAGTTAAGGAAACAACCTCACTGAACCCATCAACACCACTTACTCTTACACTGACTTCTAAAAGGCAGTTAACAAACTCCTAACTACATCACTGTAAAGATTCACCATTTGCTCAGGTATCTCCTACACTTCTGATTGATAAAGTAATCAAAGTTACTTAGCCCAGAACTGAGAAAGGAATGCCGTCTCAACCAAACTGTCCTGTCCTGACAAGCTGAATATCTATCCAAGAGGCCCATCAATCAACAACAGAGAATATACATTGTGAGCACTCACTTTGACAGACCCTGTGGATAAAACAAGAACTTCAATAGAGAATTCATCAAAAGGGACTGTGTTGCAAAAAATAAACTATTCTCCACAGTCAGTTCTCCCCCCAATTTACTCTGCCTAACAACTGAATAGACTCCAATTCTAGGTATCCAATGATTAATGGGAAGGACAGGGTAGACTACTCTCTTTTCTTACCCAACCTTCACAACAGACATTGTGGAAAGTGGGAGGTTAGCTACTCCCAACAGTACCTTCCTAAGCATATTCTTCTCTGACATTCATTTTTAGGGAGGTAGCTAAAATTGAATAATTTGACAAAAGAAAATGGTGGGAATATGATTTACCTCACAGCTTTTATATGGATAGACCTCCATTTGGCATTAAACAGGCACCTTTCTATAAGAAATATATTCCTGCATTCTGGCACCCAGACTTTAGTCAAGAGGAAATAAAATACATTCAAAAACACCAAAGAGAAAGGATTATTGAAAAAGCAATTATGTTTTCTGTACTAACTGCTGTGGATTAAAAAATTTCAGTCTGTATGTTTCCTGGTACACAGCTCTTAATGCACTTTCCCATCCATTGCAAACTTTCCAGGATTGCTTCTAACTGTAAAGAACTTATTATGGAAAGTCTCAGTCTAATATAACCTGAAGTTTATTAGAGTTTTTTAGTATCATTGTTTTCCTACATATAAATTAGCTTTAGACCTATCTGAACAAGGAAATATATGTACTCTTGTAAATGTGTCTTACTATGTTTAATTAGATGAGTCAAAATGTAGAAGTCAACATAAATAAAATGTATGAGACCATAGATCTTTTCACACCATAAGGACTGAAACCTGCCCAGCCAGTTTGGCTCAGTGGATGGAGCGTCGACCTGTGGACTGAAAGGTTCTTGGTTGCCGGCACATCCCCAGTAGGAGGTGTGTAGGAGGCAGCTGATCGATGTTGCTCTCTCATCGATGTTTCTAACTATCCCTTTCCCTTCCTCTCTGTAAAAAAAAATCAATAAAATATATATATTTTTAAAAGCCTGAAACCTATGTATGATCCTGGTTAACGGCCTCTATAGAATCCAGAAAATAGATTGTTAAAGATTTATTTTATACCTCCTTATTTTAGTTTTGCTTTATCCTATTCTCCTTAACTAAGCGCTATCTACAATGTGGCATCAAAACCTTAAAGCATTAAGGGAATCACAAATTCTATAAATGTGTAGCAACTTTTGGAGAGAGAAGGATGCTTATAACCTAATGGTTATTTCTGCTAAGCCTTAGTTATCTTATAGCAGTGTTTCCCAAACTTTTGACATATGTGTACTCCTTCTATAATTTTCGTAATGCTGAGTACCCCTCGTACTCATGAGAATGTAGAATTAGGCGCAGCTAAGCACGGTGCAGTGCATATCCCCACCAAACTCTTCCCATACCCCTGGGGGTATGAGAACCACACTTTGGGAAACACTGTCTTATAGGAAAAAAGAAGGGGATTGTAATAGGTAGAAAAAATGTTTGTTAGTGGAAAATTATTGAACTGAAACAGTATCATACTGTTAGTGTAACTGAAGTATTAGACACTGTTCCTATGTAGATGTTTTCTGTGAAGCTGGTTTTTAAAATGTTACAACCTGTTTTTTTTAAGGGGAGGTGGGTGGGAAAGATAGGGAAATAAAAAAATCGAAATGTTGATGTATATGTAACTACTAGAGGCCTGGTACACACCAGTGGGGTCTCTCAGCCTGGCTGCGGGATAGGGCCAAAATTGGCTCTCTGACATCCCCTGAGGGGTCCCAGATTGCAAGAGGGTGAAAGCCAAGCCAAGGGACCCCACAAGTGCATGATGGGGCTAGGGAAAGATGCAGGAGGTTGGCCAGCTGGGGAGGGACTATGGGAGTGCTCCAGGATGTGTCTCACTCAGTCCTGATTGGCCAGATCCTACTGGTTAGAGCATCTGCCACCTGGTGGTCAGTCCACATCATAGCAACTGGTCAACTGGTTGAGTGTCTGCCCCCTGGTGGTCAGTGCACATTATAGCAAGTGGTTGAGTGGCCTTAGCATATCATTAGCATCTTACACTTTAATTGGTTGAACAGCCGACCCATCAACCAGACATTTATCATATTACGCTTTTATTATATAGGATAAAAAAATAAAAAATAAACTTACTACCCCCAGCTACTATTTTTTTTTTAAATATATTTTATTGATTTTTTTACAGAGAGGAAGAGAGAGGGAAAATAGAAACATCGATGATGAGAGAGAATCATCGATCAGCTGCATCTTGCTCACCCCCTATTGGGGATGTGCCCACAACCAAGGTAGATGCCCTTGACCGGAATCGAACCTGGGACCTTTCAGTCCGCCGCAGGCTGACGCTCTATCCACTGAGCCAAACCGATTTCGGCCCCAGCTACTTCTTTATATGTGGAGGAATAATTACTCCAAACCACACAGGAATTCCTGGCCAAAATGTCCATCCTGAGGTGTTTCATTTAGAAATATACACATAGATCCTTTCAAAAGATTTGTCATCAAGGGCTGAAACTAAGAAGAAAATAGTATTTCCAGGATACTCACTATTAAAATAACTGAATAATCTATTACTAATCATTTCTGTCAACAAAGGTAATATCCTACAGTTGATTTTTTTTGTATGAAGGTGTTGTTGTAAAAAAAAAAAAAAAAAAAAAGGCAGTCTCATGAGATCAATAATATTTTTAAAAGAAGTACAATTAACACATGGAATTTCATGAATTTAAACCATAATTTTGCATTGATTTGACTTCTCTCAACATGGAAAAGTGAATGCACAATTCAACTTAATACCGTGTTTTCCCAAAAATAAGACCTACTTACAGGTTTCCTTCTGAGTGAAATATAAGGCATCCCCCGAAAATAAGGCCCCCCTAGGCTAAACATGAGAGATTTGGTCCACTGATTCTGAAAGAAATGAAGTCACAAAAAATTCACCAGGAAATTCAGGAATTGGATTGTTATGATGATGTTCCAGAAGATGATGACATGATTGTCATTGAATAAATGAGTAAATTCTTGATACTGTAGGATTCACAGTTTGTCTGGTTTGTGTTGACAACTACTGTATACGGGTAATAAATTTCCTTTATTTTCATTTAACAATAAATGTGTACCGTATTCTTCTTCATGAAAAAATAAGACATCCCCTGAAAGACCTAGCGCATCTTTGGGAGCAAAAATTAATATAAGACACTGTCTTATTTTCGGGGAAATAGGGTAGTGCATTAAAATCAGGATGCATAAAAACAAAATATCCTTGACTAGGTCCTGACCTCTGCTTTTCACGTTCCCCAGCTGTGACTAAGAAAAGGAAGCAAGAGAAAAAAATTCCCTGACTTGTTCTACAACCTAGATTCTATGGAAGTAGGAACAGGAAATAACAGCAATGACTAAGGTTTGTGTGTGGAGTTTTTTAAATCCCTCTCCTCCCTCTCAACTAAAGCAAAGAGACCAATTTTCAATTAGGAATGAGAACTTAGGCAAGAGTAGAGCCTGTTATAGGGCTGAAAAGATAAATATTTTTCTTAATCTGACTATTAACATTTCATTGTAATTATTAATGTAATAATGTTTTTCATAATGATGAAACAAGCAGCTACATATGGTCAAGAAAAAGAAAGTCACATGAGTTAAGATCCATAAGCATGTTTAAGATTGCTTTATGAATCCTCTGGCCTGCTGGTCTCTATCAGCAGTGGTTTTCAACCTTTTCCATCTCACAGCACACATAAACTAATTACTAAAATTCTGTGGAAAACAAAAAATTGTTATATTTTTTGCTGATCTGACAAAAAAATAAGTATAATTTTGATTCATTCACAGTGGATAGCTATTGTGTTGTCATTTTTCTTTTTTTCACAATCTAAGGGAAAAGAGGTCAGTGCCCCTGACTAGTCAAGTATTGCTTATTAAATTTTTTTTGCAGCAGCTCGACTGGTGTGGTTCAGTGGTTGAGCATATCAACCTATGAACCAGGATTCCCACATGGCGGGGTTGTGGGCTAGATAACCAGTGGAGGGTGTGCAGGAGGCAGCCAGTCAGTGATTCTCATCATTGATGTTTCCATCTGTCTCTCTGGAATCAACAAAAATGTGTATTTTTAAAATTATTACAATAAGAAGTACACTGGTTGAAAATCATTGCTCTATCATAAGTAAATATTACCAGCTATAACATAACTGGAGTCACTGAGTAAAGTTAAACCCTAATTTGGTTTAACTACTTTACTAAACGGTGGACCCTAGAAAGCAAAATATGTATTTCTCTTCTTTCTCCCTTTCTCCACCAACGGGAGTAGAAATCAAATACTTTCAAATAAGTTATGTGAACTCAAGGTCAAATGTTTAAAGAAAAAAAGAGACATAATTGGGAATGCCAAGCAATATTCATCAACTCAAAGACTAATGCATGATGAACTGTATGACAAAATAACTTTTCTATTAAAAGCTAGTGAGATGAGTATTTTATTAGGTAAATTAAAGATCTCAACTTCATACATAGTTTTCTAACTTTATAAGATGTAAAAAGTAAAAGAACTACTTTAGTACCTTCCCAACAACACACAGTAAAAGCTTGTAGCAAAAAGAATGTCAATCAATAAGCAGATAGAATAAATTAATGTGCTATATATCTCTCATCACTTAAATCTAAAAAAATGTAATGAGCAGTTCCAAATTCTTTCTTGTAACTATAGATCCTTCACTCACAACTTACTATTTTTATTCCAACTTATTATAACAATGGCGCCTTATTCCTCTCAAAAGCATTATCTATCCAAAGCGGACAGAAACCCGAAATACAGTAACAGTAACAAATGTGAAAAGTTCCCAGTTATAAAAACTGTGGCATTTACACTCTAAGCCAAAAACAAAACAAAACAAAAAAACACCAAAAAAAAAAAAAAATGCTGAACCTTAAACAGAAAAAGGATCCAACTTTTCACTCAGAAATTCTCTAGTCAACTGCAGTTTTCTCAATTACTTACTTTGTTCATCAATATGAAACACAAGCACACACAAAAAGGGTCTTTCCTTCCTCTTTCTTCATTATTTCACAAAAGGAGATCCGTTCTTTTTTACGCTTCATTGTTTTGTGGTTCCCATTGGAATTTTCCCATCCTATAATCTCACCCATCACAGCTTCTCACACTGGATTGCACGAAATTAAACTTTAAGTTCTAGAGACTGAAAACTCTCCAGGAGCCCATCAGAGTGCCCCGGGTCTCACGCGTGAGGGCTTCTCTGGCCAGCAGGTGGGTGGTTTCATAATACACACACACACACACCAGTTCTCTGGGGCTGGCACAGCAATGTTCATTTTAGTTTGGCCCCCCTTCAGTCTAACGGACTAAGAAACAGGCCTTTCTCATCCACCTAAAACAATACTTCGGCCTTTTCCAAAGTAAGGGGAAACGGGCTAGCAGGTCAGCGCCATCCCACTGACTAAGAGGGTGATGACAAACAAGGAGGAGCCCTAACGCGTCCGGAGAAAATTACTCGAGGGTCCCAGCGACTCGACGGGCTGGCCCAACCCGGCCCAAGCTGGGGCTCCCGACTCCTCTTTACGCGCCCGAGCCAGCCCTTGCCGCCACCGCTCTCCCCGAATTCGTCTCCCAGCACCCCAGCCTCCCAGGCTTCCTCTCCTCTCCTTCAGGACTGCAGGCTCCCCTCCCGGCCGGCCACCCCACCCCGATCCCGGCCACCCCATCCCGGCCCCCCAGCCAACCCTCCCCCAGTTCACGCTCCGCCCGCGCGGACCCCGGAGCCGCCACCCCACCCCTCCGCTGTGCACCTTTCTCCCGAGGGTGCTCTGGGCCCCGGGGAGCCCGCTCCTCAGCCCGCCCACCTCGCTGCCGGTACCCCGGGCCTCCTGCCACTCCCCGAAGACCCCGCCGGGACCCACCTCGAAGAGCTCGGCCGTCGTAGCCATCCCGGCCGGCTGGGAGGCTCGCCTCGCGCTGGACGCCGTCTCGGCTTCACATGCTGCGCCTCAGCGGCGCCGCGCACAGGTCCCCGCTCAGCTCGCCAGCTCCGGCCCCCGGACGCCGCGGGCTCCCCAGCTCCCCTCCGAGCCCAGGCGGGGCAGGAGAGCGGCCATGAAGCGAAGCTGCAGACGCCTGTCAGCTGCCTCCCGGCGCCGCCCGCGCCGCTCCCATTGTCACCGCCTCGACGCCGGAAGTGGAGCTGCGCGCGCGCCGGCGCAGCAGTCGGGAGGGGCGCGCGGCCCGCGCACGGCTGGAAGGCTCGCCACTGGGCGCGCGAGGAACCTTGGTCCTGGCGGGCCACCGTCCCGGAAGTGGGATTTAGAGGAAGCCAGTCCTGGGATTGCTGGGGAATCTTCTTAAATTCTCGGGATTCTAGGTGCGGATTCGCAGAATTCTGCCGCGGCCTGTGTTGGCCGGGACGGACTCAGAGGCTTTTTTAAGTCACTGCATCTGAAGGCGCTCGCTTCTCCGCTGAGCCGCACCTGTTCGTGGTGGGGCAGGAGGCAGCTCGGAGCAATGAAACTCGGGCTTCTGTTAAGAACCCATCGGAGAAAGCAGGTCTGCGCTCTCCTCCGTGGCGGCCTTAGGGGTGCCCTGATGCACTAGCGGCTTACCATGGCTCAGCGAGCGGTGTGGCTCGTAAGCCACGAACCCGGAACTCCCCTTTGCGGCACGGTCAGGTTCTCCAGGTAAATGCGAGTCTGAATCCTCCGGGACCATCAGTCGGAGGAATGGATCGTGGAGCACAGTTTTGCGATGCAGTGTGTCGCTGATCCGAAGCCTAGTGCGAATTACTTAACCTCTAGTTCACCTGTTAAAGGAATATGTTAATGATACTAACTCATAGTGTTGTAAATGGGTTGATGCCTGGCACATGTTAAGTATTGTGTGTTTTCTAACAGTGTTATTTAGTAGTACTATGTCTAAAATGACTGCACCTGCTTAGTATTGCTGTGGAGACGAAAGGAAGGGAACACGTGTATACAATTTTTCTTGCACTACTAAAAATCAGTCAGTGGCATTTTAATTCATCTGGAAAATCCTTGCTGAGCAGTATCAGACTGTTATTTTCATCTTATCGTGTTTCATTCCTAAAAAATTTCAGATAGTTTAACTCCTAATTGTTGAAGAAAATGGGAAAAGTACCAAATTACATTGTATTCACTTTTTCTTAGATGGTGTAAGCTGATCTGGTTTTATTTCTAGAATTTGCCACATGTACCAAAATAACTGCGAAGAGTACTGTATAATAACTGCAGAAAATGTGGGTGGCAATTGAATAATCTGTTTCACCTTTTATTCTCAGTGGCTATTGACAGTTTATGTATTGCCAACAAATTCATTCTTTTCTGAGGAAAGCTCTGTAGTGAAGTAGTAGACCTAAACTGAGATTGAAGCAAATAAAGATGACAGTGATTTTAAATGAAAAGTGGTTGGTAATGTGGACATGAAAGATTCCCGCTTTGCAACCTAAACAATTTTTGTTACTAAGGGGCATCAGGTTGGAGTTTACCATTTCCCCCCAGAATACAGACTTACATTTGTTTTTACCTTATGTAAGGGTGGTAATAATATTCTCCAGTATGGTTTATTAGCCTCATTGTTCTATCCAAAGTACTCCTCATTTTATTAATATATTCTCTTTTGTATCTTTATTTCTGCCATTCTCCTTGCCTCATAGGTAACATATCTTTGTTGCTATCTTTGTATTTGTGTGTGTGTATTCATTTTTCAAATTATATCATTGTTCCTTCGATTTCATTCCCTTTCATTTGTCAGATTTCTCAGCATTATTTTAAAGAAGCTTCCATGTTATTTTGAGCAGCACTGTTCAATATAATTTTCTGCAGTGATGGTCATGGGAAATGTCCTAAATCTGTGCTAATGTTATAGCTACTAACCACATACAGCTTTTGAAATGTGGTTATAGCAACTGAGGAACTCAATATTGTTTACCTTCATGTTTAATCACATATGGCTAATGGCCACTATATTGGACAGTGCAGGTCTAAGTCATTACTTCTACTTGCTCTGTAGTAATCCATGGTTTACACCTTCGATATTTACCTATCCTCTTCCAGAGTGATGTATCCCAGGTTGCCTCCAACTCTGCCATCAGAACAGTGCTATGGTAGATAACCTCAAAAGGTGTATGGGGCATATCTGAGCTGATTTTGACTAAATATTGCCAAATGAATAATACTTTCTCCAGTCTACACTCTCACTAGCAATGAGGGTCCCTGTATCGCCTTTCTTTTCTTTTCAGTTTTTGCCACAATAGTATTTTATTTTCATTTGATTTTCTCTGTGTAGCAATGATTGTTAACCCTTTGGATTCCCTCTTATGTGACTTGCCTATAGATGTTCTTTGTTCATTTTTTTTTTTCTTTGAGACTTGCTGTTTTGTTTTGTTTTTCTGTCAATGTGCAGGAGTTAATTGTGTATTCTTGAAATACTAGTCTTATGTCATTTTTTAAGCTACAGATATTTTCTCTTCATTTATTGCTAATTAATGTTGCCCTTGATTGAACAGAAATCACTAAGTTTATTGCAAGCAAAGTACTTAATACTTTGAGGGATATCTTCTTACATTATCTTCTCTTAACTTTGTCATTTTATTTGTTATATTTACATCTTTAATCTATCCATAGGCCACCTTTGGATATGGTGTTAATTTAGGATTCCCATTTTGTTTTTCTCTATACAGTGGGCCAGTTTTCCAACATCATCTTCCAAACAATACATATTTTCTCCATTGATTTGTGGAGCTATTGATGGTTTATTATGTTTCCCATATAACCATTGGTCTGTCTTATTTCTGCTACTTGGCTGTTATTGTACCAAGACCGTACTGTATTTGTAATTGTGGCTTTGTAGCTTATCAAAAATAACCTCCTTGAAGAAGTCATGCTTGTTTTCAGAATTTTTTTCCCACTGAGCTCAGAATATTTCAGAAGGAAAAATTCAGATATGTTTAGTTGTGCACTTCAACATCTTAATAGAGGCAGCAAGTTTGGTTCAAATAATTGATTTGTCACTTATTCTGTATTGTTGAATGAATTAGTTAAGTTTTATTATTTCAGTTTTCTGACTTGTTGGGACTAGTGGTAGGGCTAAACAGATATGCTCTAACATATTACCCACATATATGCCAAACAATAATGACCAAAATTTAATATTTAAAAAGATAAATGATCTTTCCTGTGTCTAACTATTTTTACCCCACAAAAGAAACTTCATTTAGATTCTATTTTAGAGGTTTTCTGCCTGGATAGATACTAGTAATAGTATCAGGTTAAGTCTGACTGAGGTTGTTAGTGTACCTCATAGTGTTATTGTACCTCATAGGACCATTTTAGAAAAGGCCTAGAATAAATCCAAAATGGCAAGTTGAATCATCCAACAAAAATATTTATTGAGCATACGTTGAAGCATTGTAAAGGTCCCAGATTAACTTCTTAGTTTACATTCAGTCATTAAATTCTTGCATTTAAGAAGAACTTTGATTATCCTTTAAGTAACTAGACTGTAAGGTACTGTTCTAATAATTTAATTAACTATTAAATTATGTTTTGTAGTAGAGTTTAGTCCAAAGTTCTCAGCTATTCTTATCCAGAGACTCAGAGAAAGAAATGGTATCCACCTACAACATTACTGGAGTGCTAACTAAATCTTTCCCTTTCTCAACTAAGAAAATGCATCAGAAGGTAAATGAATAAGGATCACCAATACACTGATACATTTCAATATATTGTTTTTCATTTTAAACAATATTAGTAAACATCAATGTTTTATTAGTAGAATTAGTGAAAAAAATTTATTTTGGCCAATGTGTGTTCTTGATCCTTAACGAGAATTAGCCACTTTTTTATTTTACTATTAATAATAAGAAAAAAGACTTGGGGAAGTTAGGTAATTTACACAGAAGTTAATAGCCAAGAGATTGATTTTGTTTGGATTGTGGAGAGATAAGGAATAGAGAAAGCACATATTTTTTTTAACTAAGAAAATATGATCTAACATTTCTATAAATGAACAAAACCACCTTCTTTTCTGATTCCCACCCCCCAAAAAAGGGATGAATTAGTAACTTACCATTGAACCTAGAGCATGCAAATCATAAAGGATTATTCAGATTTTTTTATTACCTTATACTATCTTCGAGGGCCAGAGAGGTAAATCATTATTACTAAAATGTTTTTTTTGTTGTTGTTTTTTAGGGATTGGCAAGAAAACTTGGGGTACCTGTTATTCACTCTAGGTTAAATAGAATAGAATATTCCTCTTGTAATTTTATCATCTCAACTAGTAAACTAAAAATTGTAGAGGGTTAAATCAAACCACTTCCTTTGATCCTCCTCTACTAAATTGGGATCAGAAAGTAAAGTTCTTATAGATTCCTAAAATGTGGCCAGGTACACATTCCTTGCCTATCAAGTGGGAATCTCAATGGCCAAGAGACTATGATTTCAAATTAGAACGATGTTCTCTACCTATTTAAAAAAATAAACTATTAAATTATGTTTAGTAGTAGATAATGATACTTTATCATTTGAGATAATATACCAACTATGCAACAGTTCGTTACTATAGTCAGAATTTAACAAGCAATATAACATTTTTGGGGTTACGGTTTTCGTGGGTGTGTATGTGTTTGTTACTGTGTATTTTGTTATTACTATTTACCTTCAGTTTTTAGTTTGTTTTTTGCTTTCGGGGTCTTCCATTTTTATTTTACTTGGAAGAATAATTTTTGATGTTTTTGTTTCCATACTGCAGACGGTTTCCAACTGTTGAAAAACGAGCCAAAGTCTTCAATGGAACAAGTTATGTGCCTATTCCTGAAGATGGTCCCTTTCTTAAATCATTACTCTTCGAACTTAGATTATTGGATGAAGATAAGGACTTCATGGAGAGTCGTGATAGCTGTTCTCGCATCAATAAAACATCTGTGTATGGACTTAAAGTGGGAGGTGAAGAACTCTGGCCAGTTGTTGCTTTTCTGAAGAATGGCATAGTATATGCTTGTGTTCCACTAGTTGAACAAACTTTATCTCCTCGTCCAGCACTAATTAGCATTAGTGCAATTTCACAAGGCTTTGAGCTTCTTTTTGGGATACAGGATTTTCTTTACTCAAGTCAAAGAATGGATACTGAGCTAAATACAAAGCTGAGCCAATTGCCTGACCTGCTTCTACAGGCTTGCCCCTTTGGAACTGTATTAGATGCCAACTTACAGAATTCGTTGGATAGCATCAATTTTGCTTCTGTGACTCATCCACAAAAACAGCCAGCCTGGAAAGCTGGGACATACAAAGGAAAACCACAAGTTTCTATTTCTATCACTGAAAAAGTAAAATCTATGCAATATGATAAACAGGATATTGCAGATACATGGCAAGTAGTTGGAACTGTCACTTGCAAGGTGAGATTTTTCTCTGGTACTTGTTTTATCATACCATTTAACACCTATGGAGAAAAGTAACATTTATTGATTTTAGTTTACATCGTTATATGGCACTAAAGGCCCGATGCATGAAATTTGTGCAAGGGGCTCAGCCCTCGCAGCCGCCGCCTCAGTCCTTGAATCCCCAGCTTTGTCTAGAAGGACATCCAAAGGGATTTCAGGAAGGTCATTAGGCTGGCCAGTCTAATTAGCATATTATATATATGCTATATATGATTATTATAGATTATTATAGATTGTTGATTTTTATCATAAACAGCAGTCACTAGATGTTAAATTCATATCAAATTTGATAAAATTATCTTTTTACATTCCTTAGTTATATCTTGCTACAGTAACGAATTGCTCCATTGTCCCAACAAAGACATTTATTATCATTTCTGTGGGTCAGGATTTCAGGAGCAACTTAGTTGAAACTTCCGATATGAAGTCTCTCATGAAATTACAGTCTAGATTTCAGCTGGAGCAATAATCACCTGAAGGTTTGATAGGGGCTAGAACATCTAACGCACATGAGTGGTTTATGGTGGGAGGTCTTAGTTCCTTTCCATGTGAACTTTTCAACATGCTGCTTAAGAATGTCCTCACAACTTAGTGACTAGTTTTTTGTAGATCAAATGGTTAGACAGGAGACAGACATGGGGCCGAAACCGGTTTGGCTTAGTGGATAGAGTGTCAGCCTGCAGACTGAAGGGTCCCGGGTTCGATTCCGGTCAAGTGCATGTACCTTGGTTGTGGGCATGTCCCCAGTAGGGGGCGTGCAAGAGGCAGCTGATCGATGACTCTCTCGTGTTTCTAACTCTCTATTTCTCTCCCTTCCTCTCTGTAAAAAATCAATAAAATATATTTTAAAAAAAGAGAGAGAGAGAGAGACAGACATGGGGCACAAGTAGAAGCTATATTTTTTATTACCAAAACTGGAGCTAGATAGCTTCACTCCCACCATTTTCTGTTGTTGAGAAACAGGTCACTAAGTCTGGTCTGCATTCAAGGACTGGAATTGGGCTTCGCCTTTTTAAAATAATTAAATAATTTGTGAAAATATTTTAAGACCCCCGTATCTGTTTTCCGTTTTCTCTAGAGGGGTGAGACTGACAAACCTCAGATTTAATATCTAAAGCCATTTTGAAAGGCTCTTGATTTATTTAAACAAGTAATGAGTTAATATGGGGTCCTCTGGTTAGAAAGTAGGAAAAGTCAACAGAAATAATAATAGATAGCAGTGATCAGTACCATGTTGAATAATGATCTAAATAAAAACCTCCAAGTACAATTTTTACAAGTGGATATTAATATTCTCAGGTACCTTTATTTTTCTATCTTTGTTCTCTGTACTTAAGAATATGAATAAGAATAAGAATAAGAATATATCAAATTTAATATTGACTACACATCCTATAAATAAAAGTAGATTTCAAGAACAGAGAGGTAGAACCGTCCTGGGATAAATTGGGTCTTCCTTTTCCCTTTTACATTAAAGTGACTTACGAATGTATATGTTTAAATTCACTTCCATCATGATAAAAAATACATAGCAGTTATTAAGTTTATTAGAAGTATAAATAGCTCCAAAGTTGAGGTGTTCGTGGGTTATTTGTAAGTCTTAACACAGTTGAAGTCTTTTTTCTTATATTTCTGTGACAATAAGTAGGGAATATTCTATATAATGAAGAGCTAATATGCTAATTAGACCAAACAGCAGAACAACCGTCCAGATGACCTTCCGGATGACCTTCCGGATGACCTTCCAAACATGCAAGGCAGGGCTGCGAGGGCAGAGTCCCTTGCATGAATTTTGTGCATTGGGCCTCTAGTGTTATATATAATTTACTAATAATTAATACTATGGTGTTTAAATGTCTCAGCTCATTAATAAGCTGACCCTAGTTTATTGTGTATTGGAATTTTAGGTTGATTTCTATTTTTTTGTCTGATACAAATTATGGAAAACTTTCTTCAAAAAAACTTTCTTCTAAAAATAAAAAGCGTATAGCTGTACTTTAATCCACATAATAAATCTTTCTTTAAAGTTGTATGTAAATAGTATATATGTTAGCTAAACATTTTTTAAGTATTTCAGAAGCTTAGTATACAAAGTTTTATTTTGAAGCCTATTGTAAATGGAAGTAATTATCTTGATTTTATCTTTGTCCTAGTAGATAACCAAAAAACAGTGGACTAAAGTTCTAGTCCCCACTTTACTGCTAATTTTCCATGTCTTTGGGAAAAAATCTTAATTCTTAAATTTTTTGCTTATTTTTAAAATCAATTTCCTAGGACCCTTCTGTTTTTATAATTTCTAGTTAAAAGCCCACATTTACATATGCCAGATTGGTTTTAAAGGGTGGTACAAAGATTTCTTTTAAAATAAATGACTGGTGATCTGTTATTTTAAATGCTTAGGAAGTGGATAATTTGTTGGTAGTTTCCATAATGGCTGCATTTTCCTGATCCCTGTAAGAATATTAGAAGCTAATTAAATAAGTATATAAATTGATTGTTTAAAAATTATAATAGTATTTGCTATTAATACTTGCATACTTTGTTATCTTCATAAATATCTGTCAAAAAACAAAACTTTTTTTCTTGCTAATTCACATATGGAGATAAAATGACAGATGGTATAGAAGTTAAAGCACTAAAATATATTTTTTTAAGTATTATAATAAGAGTGTATAGCATTTTTATTTTCAAATGTGATTGATATTATTGTAACTGTCACTGAAAGACCTTTATAAACCACTAGTTATGCATGGTACTTTTTATATGCCTGCCTACTTTTTAAGTATTTACATTTTATAGCACATATATTCTTGAGTGTATATATATATATATATATATGTGTGTGTGTGTGTGTGTGTGTCAATAGATAAAATGTAAAAGATGAAATATTTCAGATTAAAATGGAAAAGAAAGATAGACTCCATAATTAGAAAACTATATCCATTCAGCAAATATTTTTGGGGTGTCTCTTATGCATAGCAATGTGCTAGACATTAAGGATGTGAAGAAAAACGGAGGTCTGTGAAGCTGTCGAATCTAGCTTCCATGACCTTCCTTGAAAACTGACTTTCTTTTCCCCTCCACCTTCCAAGTCTCTCATTACCTCTCATTGGCAAACTAACACAGACCACATAGGAAAAAAGATCTTGGGCTTCTCTACATTGCAGAGAGAGGCTGTGGAGCTGACAATACAGAATGTAAGGCCCAAAGCATCACATGAACTGAAGTTACAAAGAGAAAAGAAGATTGTAGCTGGAGGGAATAGCACATAACAAGCATGGAGGTATAGGATATTATGATTTATTTAAGAATTCATTATGTCTACAGCATTAGTTGCAGGGTGGAAAATGATGGAAGATGTAAGTGGTAGCCAAATAATGAAAGGTTTTCAAAGTAATACAAAGCTAAGAGGAAACTACTGAAAGGTTTTTAGCATGGATACAGTATAATTAAAATTATGTTTCATTAAGATAGAGACACTAATGGAGGGTGGATTGGTTAGAGGAAAACAAAACTAAATACATTTACAAGACTATGACCAAGATTGTAAAGTCCTGACCAGTGTGTTTGCAACAAGAATGGAGAGAAGTCACTGGGTTTAATATAGCTTTTTAAAGGTTGAAAGGAAAAGCAAAGGATTCCAGAAAGGCTCTCCTAGTCTCTGGCTTGAGTGTCTGAGAGCATGATAGAACTACTAACGAGAACAGACAGCAAAGAGAGCAATGTCTTAAGAGAAAAGTGAGTTACGTTGTGGAAAATGATTCAGATAAATTGAGGAAAGTCTTGCCCAGAAGATGTTTGCTTCTAAGATCTTGGTAATAATTTTCCTTTTGTATTACAGTGTGATTTAGAAGGAATCATGCCAAATGTTACCATCAGCTTGAGTCTCCCTACCAATGGATCTCCACTTCAGGATATTCTAGTTCATCCTTGTGTGACTTCTCTTGATTCTGCCATTCTGACTTCTAGTAGCATTGATACAATGGATGATTCTGCATTCAGTGGACCTTACAAATTTCCATTCACTCCACCTTTAGAGTCATTCAACTTATGTTACTACACTTCCCAGGTAAACAACCTTGAAAAAGTTGAGACTTTGCAGATCATTCATACATTTGGTCCAAAGGAGAACTTTTCATGAGTCATTTACCAGATGAATGAAAATGAAGATTCAATTCTTTGAATAAGATGCCTCTTATCTGGTGTCCACTTAATGTTTTCAAAGTCATGGAATTTTTTTTTTAATATTCCCAAATAAGGGGTTTATAGTCATAGGGAAGATCTTGGTATAATTATGGTTTGAACCACGAACTTGTAAAAATGCCTTTAATCCTTGGCAGCTGTGGTTATTAAATATATAATATCATTAATAGCTGTTTATTGCTTATTGAAAAACTGTTGTGTCAGACATTGTCCTAGGCACTTTACATGTATTTTCTCTAATACTTTCAAAACCTTTGTATTTTTATTCCCACTTTACAGATAAGGAGAGTCTCAAAGACTCTCCTTCAGTGGCTTGTACAAGGTCATATAACTACTAAGTAGCAGAGCCTAGATTTGAACCCAAATTTTCCAGATTCCAAAACCCACTTTACCATTTGTCTCTTATACAATAATTGTGAATCAGTGGTTCAGAAAAACCTACTCAAGCTAATTTAAGTGAATTTACTTTTGAGAAGACAAAAGACAATCTCACTGTCATTCAAGGATAGGAAGTAGACCCAGACTTTACTGAAACTACAGTCAGAAATTAAAATTGAAATTACTTTATACTCAAGGTCTACACTGTTGGTCTCATCCCTGCTTCTCAGTCTCCTCTTCCACCTAGCTTTCTCAGCTTGCATATGTCCTCCAGTATTAGGACGTGCACTGTAAAAGTAGGTCCTTCCTATTTCTTATTTCAGATGTACTAGAAATATTGATGTGCTCACCCCAACTTACAGATTGTCTCCCTTTCAATCAATTATTGATGACCAATTTGGTAAGCTACTGCTGAGCTGGGTGTGGGGTGGAGTGTCACAATATACAGATGGGGCAACAGGAACTGTGGGCAGTGTGTCAGTGCCTGTCCTAAATGGCAGGTCATAGAGAGCCTGAAGGAGGGGAACCTGGATGAGCAAGAGTAGGAAAAAGAATGCAAAAATGAATTGCACACCTTTATCAGGCACCTTTCTCATCTCTGAGAACAGAAAGAGATGGAAGAATCTTTGCCTTTACAATGAATGTAGCTCCATCATCTATTATATAAACAACTTGGAGTAACCCATTAGTCCTTAACAATGTATCTTTAAATAATGAATATATTACTGCAAGATTTTTTTCTCAATTGCCATTGATATTTTAAACCCATTAACCTGACAATTATATAAGTTTGTATATGTTTATTTCCAGGTTCCTGTCCCACCAATTTTGGGCTTTTATCAAATAAAAGAGGAAGAAGCACAACTAAAAATAACAGTTAATTTAAAACTTCATGAAAGTGTGAAAAATAATTTTGAATTCTGTGAAGCTCATATACCATTTTATAATAGGTAGGAATAAAATAACATGATGCCATGATTTCTGCTTGCCTTAGTACATTTCCACTGCCCTATAGTGAACTGTCTTTGTTTTTAACCTTACTTTTTAGATTTTTCTTAATGCTATTCAAACGAATGCTGATTCTGAACCAAAACATAGTGATAAAAATAATCTCTGTCTTTAAATCTGTCTTTTTTATTTTTCTGGTTAAGCATGCTAATAAATATAAACATAAGCCAGCATAGCTTTCTCAGAGATTGTTTCACTCCTGGCTTTATTTCTAGCAATTTCTCTCTACATAAGACAAGCCTTGCTATCGACTATTTGGTGAATTAAATCAATCATATAAGATTATTGAAAGATTACAGTTAACTCTTGTACAGTTGAGGGTTGAGCTACCAACCCTGCACAGTGGAAAACCCATGTATAACTTTCGGCTCCTCAAAAACTTATCTACACTTGACCCTTCACACCTGGGGATTTCCAACTATAGATTGAAAAGGTTGACCTATAGACAACACAGGTTTGAACTGTTGTAGGGACCTATGTTAATCAAGGGTCAACTGTACTTTCTCATCAATTCTACTTTTAAACTTGTTCTACAGCATAATTCTTTGCAAAGTGTATAGTAAAATTACAGTTTTAATATGTCAATCTATGTGACTATTAATATATTTTATATTATTTTACATTTATCTTTAGAATTAATGAAATATATGTCATCACATAATGTTTATTGTGCTTCTGGCATTTTTTGACATATAGTATTATTTGTTCTACTCTATTCTGCCAGCTTAAATATAGAAATGCTTTTATGCTACCTTTGTATTAAGTAACAGTAGCAAGATTTGACTTAGATTTCTTAAAATTGCTATGTCTGTGATCTTTTTTTCTTCTTTTTTTTTTTGTATTGTCCTTTTTTAAAGAGGTCCAATCACACACGTGGAATACAAAGTTAGTTTTGGCCAGCTCGAAGTATTTCGAGAAAAAAGCTTATTGATCTGGATTATTGGTGAGCCAGGTTTTGTTTATTGATTATTTTTCATCCATTTGCTTTAGAATCTACGTAATTTACGATATTTGATTGGCATATTTTTGTTTTTAGGTCAGAAGTTCCCAAAATCAATGGAAATTAGTCTTTCTGGAACTATAACTTTTGGAGCCAAGAGCCATGACAAGCAGCCATTTGACCACATTTGTATTGCGGGTACAGCATATTTAAAGGTAATATATTTGTATGGCTCACTCCCTTAGAAACCTTTCTTTTGCTTCTAAATTACATATATCTAATTGATTTTTAATGTTTTCTAGCCATTTTTTAAAATTCTGGGGGGTGTTTGTGTGTGTGTGTGTTTGTTTTTGTCTGTGCTGTTCTTTTTTTATTTTTGTGAGATTATTTTTGTTTAGTATTAGTAACTTTCTATTTCAGTTAATACTGTAAAACTTTTTTAAGGTGATGCAAGTAAGTATGACCTAAACACCTCACCTTAATCTATTTCTGCACAGGTATCCTTATCACATGTGAAATTTGTATACCAAAAATGTAAAATGTAGTCCTTTTCCCCTAGAGTTATTTTCAATAATCCATGTCAACAATTGATCAGTGCTAATAGCTTTTGGTATTTCAAGGACAAAGTGAGCACTTCTGATCAATGTGGTCAAGGAAAGTATTGCAGTAGAAATGGAATTTAAACAAAACTCTGAGGCCCAGATACCTAAGCATGAATGTGAAGCCATGAAGACTAACATTTGTATGAATTAAAGAGATAACATAGAAGATTGAAGGATAACAAAGCATGCTTAAGAACCAGTGCCAGGAACAATAGTAGCACATAAGGTTGGATACATGATTTAGGTGTAAATTGTAGAAGGTTTCACTCTAATTTTTATTCCTTTATTAGAAAATGTCATAATTTTTTTGAGTAGAGGAGTGGTCTTTCAGAAAGTGATACTTTATGAAGATTAAGCTAGAATGTATGTGAAGAAGGTAAAAGAAAAAAATAACTATAGACAAAGAAACTATTTTTTAGCTCTATTATTAGTATTCCAGATGAAAGGTATAAGTTAATGATGCTGAGCTCCTGTAGTGTCACCGAAAGAGAAAGGATGAGAATAAGGGAAGAGACTGCTGTAGGAATTATAATAAACATAAAGCGTTGGTCACTAATTAAATATAGAGACAAGTACTTTTAAGTCAAAGATGGTATTATTGAAAATATATGTAATTTAAACAAGACTTGAGGCTCCAAGAGAGTGGAGACCATGTGAGTCTCATTCACTCATTGTTTTACTACCAACATCTAGTCCAATACTTGCCACAATAAATATTTGATGAGCAGATCAACATAGTACTTAGAAGAAAATACTGATGTGGAGAAAGTTGAGAGGGAGCAGGCTTCATATCATGAATATTGCTGGTGATAGCAATGTATCCCAGTGTAAGTGTTCAGAATGTAGCTAAAAATTTGGAGCAGGATTCTCAAAAGAGAGCTCAACTATATATAGGATTTGGGAGTTATCCATGGAGAAGAAATAGTCGAGTCAGAGGAAATAAGATTAAAAAAATAAAAAATAAAAATAAAAAAGATAAGAGAAAATAAGGAGAAAGATATGGAAGAACCAATGAAGTAAATTGAAGAAGTGATCAAAAAGGTAACAAGAAAAGCTAAATAGAATAGTATCAAAGAAGAGAGATTGAAATCCATACATAAAAGCATTAGTACTTCTGAAGTCAAAAGTACACTTGTGACATTCATTTCTTCTGTCTTAATTTCAACTACTATGTCCACAAGCTTTGTTTCAAGGATTAATATAAAAATTCCTGCTTCCAGATATTTTTCAGAAAAAATGTGGGATGTTAGTTACTACAATACATTGTCTTTCAAAGACAGGGATTATGACTTTTCTATTCATTTCCATCACCTAACCAGATGTAGTTTAATCAAAAGCATGTACTACATATTTGTGTTCATTAAATAGACTTATTTTCATGATATATAGCTTTTTGGAAATCAACCTTGTCATAACTTTCAGCATCCAGAACTATGCTAATTGCAACAGGAAAGACATTGCAGAGATCTGGAAATTACATTCCATGCAAGTGATCAGTTAGTTTGGTAATCAAAATGAGAAAATTAGGAAGTAGGAGAAATTTGCAAGAAAGGGAGATAAAAGAAAAAAGTATAGAAAAGTTATCAGGTTATTGCAAAATCAGGAACTTTTAGCAGCAAAGATGAAGAGAACCAAGGCTACTGGAGCTCTGTAAGATATATTGATAGAACCTTCATAGTTAATGTGAATATCATTGTTACTCAGGCAACCAGGGCTATGCTTTCAGAGAAGGTACTAATGGCCCTTGCTGTTAGAATCCCACATAATAATTGGCATTTATACTGACGACGTATATTGTCAATTAAAATCTGAGACCTGTGGATTACATTTTAGAACTTTTATAGGTGAGAGAAGGGGTGACTTCTAAGCTTAGTTATATAAAAGTTAAATTTCATTTTTCTGGAAAATTAAATAGAGCATTTCATTTCTTCTGAACACCAGAATAAACTAGTGTTTCTCTTTTTGTAATTGTATTTTTGTGGTTTGGTAGAAGATATATACGTTTCTGCATGTACAAGATTTATGATCTAAACATATCACAACCACATATCCTTAGAGGTAAAAGAGAATATCCAGAACACCAGACACCGTAGGGCAGTGGTCGGCAAACTGCGGCTCAAGAGCCACATGCGGCTCTTTGGCGCCTTGAGTTTTTAGCAAAGGCCAGCTTAGGAATACCCTAATTATGTTAATAACAATGCACCTACCTATATAGTTTAAGTTTTAAAAATTTGGCTCTGAAAAGGAATTTCAGTCGTTGTACTGTTGATATTTGGCTCTGTTGACTAATGAGTTTGCCGACCACTGCCATAGAGGAAGGAGCATCAGCTCTGTAATCAGTCTAGTCTGAGTTCAAGTGCCAGCTCAGCTACTTACATGCTGGGATTCTCATTGCTTTAATCTCAACTTCAGTTCTCTCATTTGTACAATAAGGATACCTTGCAGTTTGGGTCAGAGTTCATATTAGTGAAGTGCCTACTATATGTGAAGGATTTCATGATGCCTGCCTTCCAAGGATATGACCCTAATGCAAAAGGGAAACGGTGTGTGTATATGTATACATGTGTGCATACACAAAATATTCAGCTTCAATATTTGTGATTTAAAATTTGTGAATTTTTTGAAATAAATTCCCAAAATTGTGTCAAGGAAAAAAATGGGACCTTTTATTTTTACCAAAGAATCACCTCAATATGGTACATTTTTCTTATTTTTCTAGCTTCATTTTAGGATCTTAGATTACACACTTACTGGGTGTTATGCGGATCAGCATTCAGTTCAAGTTTTTGCATCAGGAAAACCAAAAATAAGCACACGTAAGTTGTATAGATTCATACTAACTTGAGGGAATTAAAATGATGTTATATAGTTATTACCTAAGGTAAAATTAAAATGTAACTGAAAGAGATCAGGGAATAATCCCAATTTATAAAATTCTGGCCTGATCCTATTCTGTGAAAGAGTTTGTATACTTCATATTGTCCTCTGCTTTCTTCTGTTTATGAAATTATCTGGATGGGCAAGAATTGGTGTAGAGATGGACTTTAAAATTGGATTTATTTTGCTCTGTTTATAATACACACTTTTATTCAGGGGTTATTCACAGGGGCTTTGGTGTTGGACAGACAAGGGTTTAAGTCTAGCTCAGTTTGTTATCTATAATTTTAGGCAAGTTAGTTAACTTCTCAAAGTTTTAGTTTCTGCATCTGTGAAATGGAAATAATAGTATTATTTACCCCAGGATTCTAAAGCAATTACTTGTTAAGGACAATAATAAGTTCTATGTATCAATAATTTAATTAGACTGTCATATTCTTTATCTACTTAAGGTTTTTCCTGTTTTCTCTGGTACCATTTTTTTGGGCTGTTTTTTAAAGAGATAAATATGTGGAATGGTCTTCATAATGCTGTGTGTGTGTGTGTGTGTGTGTGTGTGTGTGTGTGTGTGTGTAAAGGCATAGTATAGTTAGGTCAGTTTGGACAAACCAGTGGTTTTGTCTAAATTCAAACATACCAATATTTTAGAATGTATCTATGGAATACTGAATGCAAAATGTTAATTTAAATAATAATAGCTAACCTGTATTGCTTACTGTATGCAAGGAACAGTTCTAAGTATTTTATGTGTTAACTTCCATTTTTATATAATCCTAATCAGGACCTTGGTAAAGAGGTTACAAAAGGGAAACCAATAAAATTTTTTCTACTGTTTTTGTACTTGAAATAATGATCCTTAGAAACAAAATTTAGGAGAAATGGAAATTTTGTTTCTAAGGATCATTATTTCAAGTAGGGGGGTGTTTAGCTGATTAAGCATTAATTTGACATAAATAAACTTAACCATGGATTATTTTACTGTTTTAGTGAAACCAAATTTTTGAAGTGGTAAGAGTTATAGTAATGCCTTGAAAAAGTCTAATTAAAATGAATATTTCAAAGTATTGCCTTCCTTGAAATAATTGTATTCCAAAACTTTAAAATGCCTGTCTCTTACTGAATTCTTGTTAATATAATTTATCTCTTTTATTTTTCAGATCGGAAACTAATTTCTTCTGACTATTACATCTGGAATTCTAAAGCTCCTGCTCCAGTGACATATGGGTCATTATTACTGTAATTATCTTGTGTTTAAATAAGGCTTGTACAATAGTAACATAGCCTAAATTAAATCATAATCTTATTTTTAATATGTATGCATATAACCTATGAATGAGAAAACATTAAATGATTTAATTGTAAAAATGCTCTTGTTTGATGTTTTTTGTCTGACATAGTTTGGCAAAAAAGTACTTTCAAGACTAATGTCTCCAATTTTGTTACCCTTTGATTTTTCTCAACTATGATTCAGAGCATAAACCAGTGTGTTTCTAGTCCTGAGTTACCCTGTCACATGTTCCTTCCTGTGCCTGTGGCAGACATGACTAATCAATCGCAGCCCTTTTTCTCCACTAAGCTTCATGGATACAGGCTCAGGTTCCTCTTCAGTTCAGACCTGCAGGCAGCCACTCTTGATGGATTGCTACTCCAAACCTGAGTACCAAGCTTCTAATACATTGTGTTGTTACAGAATGCCAGAGACCACATTAGGAACAACTGTAAATCTCTTGAGAAAAAAAAACAAAAAACACACAAAGCATTCAATGAAAACAAAGCAAAATTCTTTATAAACAGTAAACTGTTCTTAACCAGAACTATCCAATTGACTTATAAAGAATCTGCATAATTCTAGTTAAGGTATTTATTTCTGTTCTAGAGTTACTTTTCAGATAAGCTTATTGTCTGCCACAATAATTTGCGTTTGAGTGTCAGCAAGAGGGGTGGTATATCTTCAGAAGATGAACATAGTGTTTTGTGATCACTTAATGTGTACAGCCAAATTTTTAAAGATAAATTTAGGTATTATATTGCTTTTTTCATGTTTTATTAAGTTCATTAATGAATAAGTTCAGGTAAAAATTCATATAGCCTATTTTCTTTAAATTTGTCATTATCGCTTTCTTATTAGCATTATCTTAGTTTCCTCGAGAATCATCTAATCATACTCTTTAATCTTTACCTGTCTTGACAGTTATATGTCTCATTCTGTTTTCAAAGCAGTTCATTGTCAAGTTGGACTTTAAGTGACTGTTCATGAAAAGATAAAATCTCAAGATCCTCAAATCCTAATCCATGTCAATTTTCTTTTCACGGAACAGAATTAGAAGTGTTATGAAAAAATATACATTACAGATTAGTATACAAATAAATTATATCTTAGTTTCTATTTTTTAATGAGTCTCTTAAGGAAAAGCTTAGAAAAAGGTGCTAACTCCTTGAAAGGGAATTATGGTAGTTTGAAGGGATATTGCATATAAATTTAGGATTTGAAATGTGATTTTTTTCATTAAGGTCAATCCTACTCAGTATAAACTCATATTTTCTGCAAGGCATTATCGTGGCATAATGTTCTCTCTTCAAAATTATCCTTAGTAACACAGGAAATAGAATAACTACCTGATCAGGACTTTAACTTATTAGCCTAGCTTCATCATAGTAGTAAAAACCTTCCTTTAAAAAAAAAAAAAAATGACTCCCCTTTAGACATTTGATCCCTCTTTAACTCAAGGAAAGCTTATCATTTAACGTTAATATTAAGGGAGCCATTGGGACATCTTGATTGTATAAATGTTTAGCAAAGTACACTAAGGTAGACAAGAGGCATTTATCTAATGAGTAAGCAGAGATTCAGTATAATTCCCTAGGGCAAACTCTATAAGCAATCAGAAAAACCAGTGAATCTTTGATTTGACATATCTAGAAACCTGAGGGAAATCTAGGGAGGACTGGAAAAGTGTGGGGCTGTGGGCAACCTAAGGCCATCTGTTGCCATTCCATTCTAACATAATGCTACAAAACTAAAACCAACTCCCGTTGAGATCAGCTGGACACATTGTGATGCTTTTGATTTTGTCTAGAAACCTGTCACTTCGGGATAATTTCTGAGGACAAAGTCTGCTTCCCGTTTGGTAGGTGACCTGTTTAATGTTTTCCCTGTGTCTGGGAACTCCTTAGTGTAATTAGCGACCTTTGAACTCCACAACTAATCCTGAGCTATTTTGTATTCCTTACTCATCTTTAAGGCTGGATCTTTCTTTTCTTCAGACTCCGCTGCCACAATTAAAGAAGAAACAGCTGCATTTCAAAGGGATTCCGATCCAGAAGCTTAATCGTGATTGACATGTTCTTATTCTAAGCTATAAGACACTCTTAAGAGTCCTTTCTTGGGTTAAAACTTCAATCATTTTCTAAAAAATTATCTCACTATGGATTTTATTCATTTTCTTTGATAACTATTCTTTGCATTTTTTTTTTTTACTTGAAAGATGTTTTGTGTTTGCAGTGAATATATGAGCACCTATTTCCAAAGATTTGGATGGTATCAGACCTACTCTAGATACAAAATTGCTAAATTCCTTTTTAGTGCAAAATATGATTATAAAATCTGTTATCATATAGGTAATTATTCTTCAGTAGACCCAGACGGTACAAAAATTGTTAAATTTCTGAAAATGTGCTCCAGAAAAGCTGGTTCATGATTTTGGGGAAACCCTTCTTTTCTAAACAGTATTTTTAAAACTTTTCTAAGACAGCAGTATCTTTACAGAGGTGGGCATTTTTTTAACTTTCTTACCGTAAAATAATTGATTTAAATATCCGGTTTGAAGTAAATAGCCTTGTCAGGAATTCTTAAGAGAATTATTTCTTTAAAAATGTTTTCTTGGTTAAACATTAGTCTGTCTTATAAAATGTAAGTGTTTTACACCAACTAAATATTTGAGTTGAAATTATTGTGATTTTATGTATTGTATAATTTAAGGACTCTCGAAACACAATTTTGTACATAGTAACAACGGCTAATATTCTCCTTTTTATTATAATATTTCAATTTTGTACTTAATAACAACAGCTAATATTCTCCTTTTTATTATAGTATTTCAAACCACTTTATAGCCATTCACAGACTCCTGTACCACCCCTGGGAGGGAGGAGGTGGGGTTTGCATCCAGAGCCTCTGCAGGGACCGCTTCCACAGCAGAACGGCTGTTTCTAAGACAGAGGTCAGGAAAGGGATGTTAATAAACAGTCCTCAGGTTTAAGGGACTTTTTTAGGATTACATCTTAAATTCCAACAAATCAGATTTAGGAGTTACTGAAAGTGAAATTGATCCATCCCTCATCCAAACTTTGCAATACTTTCCTGTTCTGACATCATTTAGATAGTTAGCTGTATTATCAGATTAGAAACCATTGTACCATGCTGCTGAAAGGAAAAGGAGGCAAAAAGCTAAACATAGGATAAATTCTGAACCTTTTAACCTGGCTGAAGTACGTTGGTCCCTGTTATGCAAATACCTTCAATCCTCTGCTAAGTTCAGTGGAAATAATTTTCTTGAATGACAGGTTTATTCAGCAAGGATTCAGTTGGTGATTAATCCCCCTTTGATCTAGGGTATTTCACTTAACTACCAGTTACCTCGTTCTGACAAAGTGCAACTGAGATTAGGGAGATCACTAGAACACTACCAGGGTGTGCGTTTATTCTCTCTAACCTTTTAAAGCAAGGGCCAAGAATGCAATTTATTTTCAGTATTTGAAGATGTAAAGTCCTGTCTGCTAAGTTAGAAAGTCAATTGAATACCAAATGAAGTTTATTTCTTACATAATAGAACAAACATTTCTTTTTTGCTTTGCCTAACAATGATTTTAGGAAACAGACTTTGAAGAAAAGAAGAAAGATTACATTCTAAGTATATCTTCTAGTTTTGTTTCATGTACTTGAGAATATACTCATTGACCCTGAGATAGCCCCCAAATCAAAGCAGTCGCTACAATTTAGGTTGAGAAATCCTTCAGTTTTATTAAATTGCATGGTTTCTTCCCAGCCTCCTCCCATTTAAAAAGGTCATGCTATGTGGTAAATCCAATTGCAGAACATGTAATACATAAGTATTCATCTTAAGACTTTTGATTTCAATGCTTTATTTGTTAACTTTGTCCTTTCTTGAGGAAACAACTTATGTTCCCATCCTAAGAATAATTGTGTTCACTTTCAGAATGAAGATTTTTGTTCATAAAGAAAGGTAAAGGATGCCATTACAAGAATACTTCGAATTATTTTAAATTATCAAACTAACCATTTTCTGCAACATTGTTTACTATTTTTCTACCTTCCTTTTCATTTAACTGTGTACCTCTTCTTCCATAACTTTAAGCCTTTGAAATATTCTTTGGAATCTTCCACAATATTTTAAGAATAAAATTTTACGAAGTGTTTTGTGTTAGGGTTTCTCAAAAAATTCATCTTTAAAAACATCATTAAAATTTATCTTGCAAGATATCAAATGTGCAGATCTATTCCACATGTAGTTTGAGACCCTTAAAAAGGAAACAATTTTTAACAAAAATTTGTTTTTAAGTACTAAGTTATTATTAGTGATTAATCTTATTATAGATAGAGCATTTTAAATGCTTATAATTGTTCATTATTCTACTAGCAGTTTGCAATACAAGTTATATATTTATGTAATTATACATTATTTTGGTCCAAAGTCTCTGTGACTCAATTTCTAAATTGAAACAATGACTCAAAAAAGTACCTCTAACTTCCCTGGGTATCAGTTTCAGTTTAGTAACCAAACTTTTCAAATATCTTTTGATAGCCAGTTACTTAATCACAGAAATTGAGGATCAGTAAAAATATAAGATGAAAGGCAGGATCCCCAGACTATGTTGCTAAGAAACTAGAATTTTTAATAATTCATTATACAGTAAATATTTAGCTAATAAAATGTTGCAATATATTTTGAAATATGTATCAATCTATATAAACCATATGTACATGCATGTATATGTAATGTATATAATACATATGTTAGTGTGTATGATTTGGTGGGTTTTCTTATGAAATATGTTAGTGTCATGTCAGGAAATAATCCAAATATCTTTCCTCCAAACACAGTGTTAGTTAATAGTAATGAAGAGGTTCATTAACAAAAAAATTTCCAAAGAACTCATGAGATCACTCTTACAAATGATTAAAACTTTTATGAACTTCAGCTAGCTTCTAATTGTTTTCTTGAACTAATTTATGGGTATGATAATATTGTCTATATATAGCCTGGAGCAGTGCAAGGCCATATCTCTATGACTAGTTTATTGTCTTATAAGCAGGCTGCTCTGAGGTCCAGTTTGATTTCTCTAAGGCCCTGGCTCATCTGCATAATTGTTGGCAGTGTAGTGTTAACGTATGATGCACAACATTTAGCATTTACAAATTGATGGGTGCCCTGGGATGGAAACCCACCCGATGAATTGGTTCTACAATAGAATATGTGAAAATCTGTATATATTTTAATAATCCGTTAAAATTTAAAGTCAAAGTGTATGTTTTCTTTAAATGTCTTTTTAAATTATAGTTTTGTAAAAAAAATAGTTATCCCTTTTAAAATTTTTACTTTTTCTCCCAAGGGACTTGAGTGCCCTCTGCAGGTTATAAAAAGATAATTAATGGCAATATTTATTTTGAAACTCTGTGATTTTTCCCTTTTTGTAGCATAACCTGTATAAATGTGATCTATTTTATTTATATTGTTAACTTTGTTAATTTTCTGTTGATTGAAGGAAGAGTTGTTGTTTTTTTCCTGGCCTATTTTATTTAGTGTGAAGTAATACCATTGAATTTTACAAATCACTTAGCTAGGGCTCTTTGAATATTGGAACTATTCACATTGGAACTAATACAAAGTCCCTCACAGAAAGAAGATTGGGAAAATTTAGCTATTTTGAAATTTATTGAAGATATAGAAAATAACATTACTTCCCATTACATAATTAGAATATTAATACATTTGAAATAAGTTTTACCTTTTTAATATGCAATGTGTAAAATTTTTAAATTACATGAGTTCTATTTCTTAATCTTGTTGGTGAGTTATGATTGTGTTCAAACTAAAAAAAACGAACACAAGCTTCTTAGGATCCACGTATTTAAACAAAATTAGGATTGAATAGATAATGTTCTGGCATTATTGTTGCATAGGTCTACTGACTAGAAAGAGTATTTCTATCTGAAGAGCAAAGGTTTCACATCTGCATTTCTCATTTCAGTACCTGTCTTTCTCAATTGGTACAATAGGTTTGTTTCTAAAGTAGATAGGCCTTCTACACTTTGTATATAAAATTGTAGAACTTGAGCACTAGTGGTACATCTGACTCACTTAAGCTGCCAGGGGAACTAAGTATGATAACAAGAAGAATGGTTGGATCACATTAATAGAAATAGATCTTTTTGCAAGAATATAGTGATCCTGATCATCAACCTTGAAAAGTAAATTAGAACAAGCAAATTGCTGTTGAAAAATTCTTTCAGCACTCTGCTGTTGCTACTCAGCTAGTCATGGCTCAGCCAGAGGCAAGGAAAAAATGCAGTTTGGTGTTAACAAAGGAAACATTATTAAAGTGAGTGTTTACATTGTGTTTATTGAAGTGTTGAAAGAATATTTGTTGCAACTTCAACCTTC